TCATACATGTTTCTCAACTTACATGTTGACTTCTTGTAAACAATCCCCCATCCCACTCCACCCCACCCCATTCAGTTGATCCTATGATTTTTGGATGAGTCCTTACCTCAGCAAATAAGGACTGACGAAACTTTCCAGTTCCTCTTCTGGGAAAATCCCAGTATAGAGAATTCATTCCCAACTGATTTAATTTGGGGGATGAAGTCGACTGATTAGAAAAAAGAACAGACAGATACAGATTTTTATTAAATTTAACTACCAAAAAATGTATGTCACAAAATAAGAGAAACAGCCTTGTTCCTGATGCCCCATTCGCTCTCAATGGAACGACCATCTCCGAATGCAACATCTATGTGTACCTAGGTCGAGAGGTCAACATGACAAATGACCTGGCACCCGAGCTGCGCAGGAGAAAGAGAGCGGCTTGGAACGCCTTCAAGAACGTCGAAGAAATAGCTAAGAGGACGAAGAACCTCCGGCTCCGGGCACATCTCTTTGATTCCACTGTTCTTCCTGCATTAACATATGCCTCAGAGACCTGGGCCCTATGCAAACCAGATGAGAACGCCATTCAGGTCTCCCAGAGAAGAATAGAAAGAGCTATGCTTGGAATATCACGTTTCACTCAAATGAGAGAACGAATCCGGAGTTCTGACATCCGTCGACAATCAAGGATCAGGACGCTGTCTCATTTGCCAAGGTGTCGAAAATCAGATGGGCTGGTCACGTAATGAGATTTAAAGACGACCGTTGGACTAGAGCTGTTACTGATTGGATTCCACGGGATGTCAAAAGACCACGTGGCCGCCCACCTACCAGATGGTCAGACTTCTTTGTCAAGATCATGAACGATCGGTTTGAGGCCCTCCATGTTCCCGGAGCGAAGAGATGCCATTGGGCTACACTAGCACGCGACAGGGACAAATGGAGACGTTACTGGCGCCCGCTCGAGCAAATCGACGACTAACGGGAAGTTAAGTGATAAGTGATAAGTGACAAAATAAAAGCCAAGTGGACCAAAATAGTGGAACATTTTGAGGTTTGCTGTTTAAGCATGACACAAGAAGTTGAACTCTTTAATCACAGGAATAAGACAAAATTCTTCTTCTAATGTTATTTCTTTGGGGCGAGGAGTGTTTATTGTGTAATTGTTAAAGCGACTCTGTCACTCAACAAAGTCATTCATTCTGATTCTATAATTTTGTCCAGTGCAGCTTCAGGGCCAGCACAACTGGGAGGGTGCTTTCCTTGGAATGCAGCCCACTCAGGTTCCGTCCTGGGAACTCCATACAGTTCTCTGAACATAGCTAGCAGTAAACCCTGAGCACATAGGTGTAGACCAAATATCAGCACTGTGGCACTATCGTCTTGTTGTTCATCGATTTGCTCTATCAGGCACCAGTAACATCACCATTGAGACTTGTTGTTACTGTTTTTGGTGTATCAAATACGTCACAGGGAGCTTGCCAGGCTCTGCCATGTGGGCGGGATACTCTTGGTAGCTTGCCGGGGTCTCCGAGAGGGATGGGGAATCGAACCCGGGTCGACCACATGCAAGGCAAAAGCCCTACCCCACTGTGCTATTGCTCCAAAAATCAGGGGAAAAAATTGATTTTGCCACAAGTAATTGTAATAATAAAATAAAACCACTTTAACTTTTTAAAGAATGGCTTATTTCTGATTAGCTTATAAAGGACAGATGTATTTCTCTATTGATGACTGCTACCTAAATTTAAAAAATGTGTTCCCAACAAAAAAAAATTGAAAAATAAAAATCACAACAATAATATCTTACACATTCTTTATTACCAAGGAGCTATTCAAAATTGTATAACTCTTGGGTCATCTTTTCTTTCCTACTCCCATTTTTTGTTTGTTGGGTCACATCTGGGTACTCAGGGGTTATTCTGGATTGGGGGTGCTCCAAGATGATCTGGCACCAGGCAGTGTTGGAGTCCCATGTGCCTGCTGGCTATTTGAACAGTCTCTCCATCCCCGTACCCCTTTCAAAGGAGAAGAAATTTAGGGCCAACCTCTGTGATACTAAGGGGCTTAGTCCTGACTCTGGGGTCACTCCTGGCTCCGAAGAACATAGGAGACGTCAGGGATGAAATGGGGCAGTTGTTTGCAAGGCAAGTGCCTCATTGGCTCAACTGTCTTCAGCCCCTTCCTACTTCTTTTGAAAGAAAATTCAATTCCCTTTTCTTTTCCACAGCACTGTCCTCATGATTATTGGGGTAAGGAGGGGTGAGGTAGAGGAAGGGTGGGGGATGAGGAGGAATGAGAAAACAAATCTTTATTTATAACATGGTCATTTACCACTTGATCACTTGATCACTTGATACCACGTTACTCATTGATTTACTCAAGCGGGTGCCAGTAATGTCTCCATTCATCCCTGTTTCGTGCTAGTGTAGCCCAATGGCATCTGCTCGTTTGAGGACTATGCAGAGCCTCACACCGATCATTCAGGGTCTTGACGAAGAAGTCTGACCATCTTGTAGGTGGGTGTCCATGTGATCTTTTGACGTCCTGTGGAATCCAGTCAGTAATGGCTCTAGTCCAGCAGTCGTCTCTAAACCTCATTACGTGTCCAGTCCATCTGATTTTTGATACCTTGGCAAAAGAGACAGCGTCCCTGATTCTTGAGCGTTGACGGAGATCGGAACTCCGGATTCTATCTCTCATTTGAGTGAAGCATGATACTCCAAGTATAGCTCTTTCGATTCTTCTTTGAGAGACCCAAAATGGTCATTTATAAGCTTCAAAAATATGTGTGTGTGTTTTACTTTTTAATCACATTTTGTAGAGCTAGGCAACAAAAATCTTCTAAGTTTTCTCTTAAGAAAAAAAACAATAAAAAAAACTTATACAGGAGAATTCTGCGAATTCCTTGTTTTGTTTTGGGCAATATTATTGCACACAATACCAGTTTTCTTTCTGTATAGTATTATTTTCCCAGGTAAATTTGAACTTAGTCATCGAAAATAGTTTTTATTTAAAAGTTTATTCATCAAAATGTGCCCCAGTAGTGAGGCTAGCACTGTCATTTTACACGCAGAGAAGGAACTATGGCACAGGCAGATTCCAGGTATGTACCAGGCAATAACAGGAAGTTCCTACCCTGGCAGTTAGGAAGGGGGGGGAGGGAGGGAAGAAAGGAAGGAGGGAGAGAGAGGGAAGGAGGGAGGAAGGGAAGGAGGGAGAGAAAGAGAGAGATAGTAAGAGAGAGACCCTCTGTCCAAACCCTTCCCATGGACCGCTTGTTCCTCTTCCCAATCTGTATTTAGACTCTCACCCAAGCCACTTAAAGACAATAAGAGTCTTTGAAACTGAGAGTGAAATACTAGCTACTGACTCACAAAGACTTGAATGAGCACTTCAAAATGTCTTTGGAGAACAGGAGTGAAAATAAAACACAACTGCAGTTATTTCTCGAGGAGAAATCAAAGCACCAGAGGTAGAAAAATCCACATAACTCTGAAATGAAAGGTAATGTCTGCCCATAAAAAAAAGCGGGGTTTCATTCTTGATAAAATTTAGATATGCCACAGAAATGTATTTTTCTTTTATGTATTATTTGTATTTGTATTGGGGTGGAGCGATAGCACAGCGGTAGGGCGTTTGCCTTGCACGCAGCCAACATGGTCCACCCGAGTTCGATTCCTCCGCCCCTCTTGGAGAGCCCCGCAAGCTACGAGAGTATCTCGCCCACACAGCAGAGCCTGGCAAGCTACCCATGACGTATTCGATATGCCAAACACAGTAACAACAAAGTCTCCAATAGAGACGTTACTGGGCCCACTGGAGCAAATTGACGAACAACAGGAGGGCCTTTACCTTTACCTTATTATTTGTATTGTATTTGTATTATTCTTTTTCTTTTCCTTTTTACTGAATCCCCTTGAGATACACAGGTTACAGACTTGTTCATGGGTTTTAGTCATACAAGGTTCCAACACCTGTCCCTCTACCTGTGTATATTTCCTGCCACCAGTGTCCCCAGTTTCCCTCCCCCGCCCCTGTCTGCCTCTATGGCAGGGACTTCAGAAATGTATTTCTTTGCCACTTCTATAGGCAAAAGATGCTGCTATCCACACTACACATTGGCCAAAAAAGTACCCAAATGCACAGAGGACAAAGCTAGAAACTCCAGAGCTCTGAGCTCAGTGCAGTTCCTCCCTACACCCCCCCCCCCGGAAAAAAAATTTTCAACCCCAAACTGTTCATAGTTTGTGGAATCATCAACAAACACCCTTCACACCAAACCTGAGCACTCAAGGACTTGCCAGAGCCCTGGAAGTTCCAGAATTTCACAGAAGGAAACTGTGTAGGATTACGACACGGCTGAATTCAGCCCTGAAATAAACTTTTCACACTGGCCCCTCACCCCTACGGCACCAAGCGACTTATGTGTGCTGATTTATTTATACTGAGTGTAAAAAAAAAAACCCCAGGAAGGAGGCCAAGGTCCCCCAGCACAGCCCTGGAGCACGGCTGTAGGTTAAGAACGCGTTTACGCGGACCTAAACGAAACCGAGCCTGGAGATAAGTTCGACGGCCCGAAGCACCAAAGACAGGTCCAATGTGAGCAGGGAATCCAAGTTGCCAACGAATGAGTGCTAGGATGATGCTTCTGAGGACGTTTTTCCAGACGCGCGTCTCCACTTAGCAATGACGTCACTCCATCCCGGCGCCTCCCGGCCGCTTGGGACAGAGAAAAATCCCCGAGTCCGAGAGCTACTCCGAGGACCGGCGGCGGCAGCGGGGTGTCCAGGCCCCCCAGCCCGTGCCCATCCCTCGACCTGCCACCCCACCCCGCAGGGGCGAGGCCCCGTTTCCTTCCGGAGCGGGATCTACACGGGAATTTCCCTGGCGGGGGCGACGTCACCTTCCAGCCCCGATAATGGATAAAAGGGACTGGCGGCTCTCGGGGCGCTCAGATCGCTCTGCAGGTTCTTCCTCCGACTCCCGCGCTCCACGCTCAGACCCTGCACGCTCAGCACCATGGCCCGCGCCGCGACCCCCGCTGCCCCCCGCGCTCTCGGGACCCTCCGCGCCGCGCTGCTGCTCCTGCTCCTGGGCGCCGCCTGCCGGCAAGCTGCAGGTACGACCCCGCCACTCAGCGGCCCCGGGCGGCCCAGGGCGACTCTCCAGGGGACCCCCCAGCTCACCCGCTCTCTCCTCCCTGCAGGGGCGTCCCTGGCCTCCGAACTGCGCTGCCAGTGCCTGGAGACCATGCAGGGCATTCACTTCAAGAACATCCAGAGCGTGACGGTCACGCCCCCGGCACCCCACTGCCCCCGCACCGAAGTCGTGTAAGTGTCAGCCGCGTGGTCCTGCGCTGCCTCCTTGCATCCCGTTATCCCCCAGGCGCATCCCCAGCGCGACTTCTTCTCATGGCATCCTCGCTTCTCTCCGCAGAGCCATTCTCAAGAACGGTCAGCAAGCCTGTCTCAACCCCGAAGCCCCGCTGGTTAAAAAACTCGTCGACAAGATGCTGAAAAAGTGAGTTGGTGGGTCTGCTCCCCCATGTGACTCCAGCTATTGGTGATAAATACTGCCCTCTGCCACTAAAAATTATGACAGGGGAAATTCAGTATTTAAAGAACAGGAAATCGTTTTTGCAACTTAAGTTTATTCATCTGCTCTGGCCCCAGATGAAGTTCCTTTAGCCTCCATCCACAAAGCTCTCTGCACTCCCACTCACATGAGTGGGTGAGTGTGTGTGTTTCTTAGGGATTAAGTAGATCTGGACAGTGATCTAACATGCCTCCTATCGATTAAGGAGCAGTGTTTGTTGCAGTTCCTCACTGGACCTCAGGGTGAAAAGTAGGGCCCCGATTTGAGGTCACATGGTTCTGCCTTGAATTCAAATTCACTTAGACTCATCAAAAAAAACCTAGACTTACTCATGCCAAGAGTAAATGTAAAAGTTACCTCATTTATCATTCTTCTAACACCAGAGGAATTACTTAATCTCTCTGAGTTTTAATAAAATAGTGGGGGTCAGGGGGATACGCTTGCTGTTGAGGAATTAAACTGGGTTGGTCTTATGCGGTTTGCTTTCTTGGGTCCAGTATGGTATACTGGCATTTTGAAGACAATATGATTTTTACCACAGAACCCTAAATCTTAATTAGGTAGAATATAGGAGCCGGGCAGTTTCTGCCTCACAGGGCAGCAGTTGGTGTAAGCAGTAAATTCCTTGCTGTCAGCCGCTTAACTAACCCCCAAAACGCTTTTCTCATTACAGAAGTCAATCAAGCTAGAAAGAAGGAAGAAGCTGATCGCATTCAGTTCCACTCTTGGAGGAATCCGAAGGAAGGATGAATAGTTTCCAGGGCCATCTAGATTTTTGTTCCTTGTTTTTGACTAGGTTTTATGAGGGTTCTATTTATTGACGTATGTGTTACAGTGGTTATTTATTTATTTATGAAGGCTTATATTTTAATGTTCTAATTTAAAGATGTGAATGTGTTTGGTGATTTGCTGTTTGGGTGGGCTTACTGTCTTGTTATCAAACAGTGTTCAGGGGGCCCAGGTCCAATTCCTTGTTGTTTGGCCAGATTGGAAGATTCAGTATTGGGGTTCCAAAATCCCTTGGGTAACCAGGACACATCTGAGTGTGTTGGAATGCATTGTAATGCCTGGCTCCAAACCCTGGTCAATTCCTGAACTATCTCCTCAGCCCCTGTACTGATATTTATAGTTTTTTTTATATTAAATCAGTTCAGTCCTGTTATTTAATTTGTATATTGGGCACTTTAAATGTTTTTCATTCATTATACAGACTTTGGGGGGAGGAGGAAAGTTTATATCTTCGACTGTGGTAGAGACTGGATGATAAAATGGCGACTGGGAAGGGATGGTCATCACAGGTGTTTTGTACTGTTGAGAAGAATATCAGTTATTTATTGAAACCATCAATATTTCGAATGTTGAAATTTTTAAAAACTGCGAAGTTTTATTAATCCCTGAGACATTTTATGTCTTCCTTGTAAGGCATAATGCCTTGTTTAATTTCTGTTACTTAAAGTTTCTCTGTCTTAGAATGGAGAAGTTTAACTATTTGATGTATTTTTCACAAATAATATGAAAATAAAGATTTTTATTAAAAGTTTGTCTTTTACTTCTTAATTTCTTTAGTTCTTTCTGACTCTCCAAAGACTGTAAATTGGCAACAGAGCGTAACTCCTACTCCATCCCTACCCCAAACCCCACTCCAACGCACATACTCACACATCTCCACTAGCCAGACTTTCTTTAGATTTATTCCTGTTCAAGAAATATTTAAATTTTTTTTGAAGTCCATGACTTTGAGAGGGCTGGAGCAATAGCACAGCAGTAGGGCGTTTGCCTTGCACGCAGCCAGCCCGGCCAAGCCGGGTTCGATTCCTCCGCCCCTCTCGGAGAACCAGACAAGCTACCGAGAGTATCTCGCCCGCACGGCAAAGCCTGGCAAGCTCCCTGTGACGTGTTCGATATGCCAAACACAGAAACAATAAGTCTCAAAATGGAGATGTTACTGGGCCCGCTTGAGCAAATCGATGAACAACGGGAGGACAGTGACAGATGACTTTGAGAATTGCCTTTTATTGACTGGGGACTGGGGGATGGAGGACCCACACCTAGTGATGTTCAGGTCACACTCCTGGCTTGATCCTCAGGTATCACTTTTGGTGGTGCTTGGGGGACCATCATGTGGGAATTGAACCTGATTAACAGCATACAAGGCAAGTGTCTTCCATACTACACAATCTCGATAGCCCAAGAGTCACCAATATTTAACATAACATGTTACATTTCAGGTTTGTCTTGAATAACAAACCTGTTATTCAGTTATAAGTAAGACTTTTTATTCAATTTGAATTATTTAAGACATATTTTAAAGAGCTCTTTATTAAGTTATCTTATTAGATAGTTTTCAAACATTGTTTTATCCTCTATTAACTAAATAAGATACAAATGCTTCATAGATGAAATAAAAACTTTAGTTTTCAGAGGTTGAAATTTTGGGTTGTCAGGAGGAAGAAGACAATAGAGAGCTCTGCTTAGCTGGTTCCCACAAAAACCCTGGGTTTTATACCATTTTGACAGGTGAGTCGTTCTCAACAGAGGAAAAATTTGCCGTTGAAGTAATAGAAAGCTACAAATCTGTTCTCTTTTTAACATCCCAACTTGAACAAGAAAAAAATACATTTGAACTTTGTGATCATTGCTTGGCTCAGGAGACAGTCTAGGCTGGCAGAAATGTAATTTAGAACACAGGATTTCATCACAAGGTGTTATTGAAATGGATTCTTGGCCTGGTCTCATAGTAGTTCATTTATAGTACAGACAGGCCATCTTATGAGGACCTCAGTAAGGACCTGAAATATGGATAGGCTGGGCTCCCACAAAAGGGAAAGGCATATTTCTTCTTCATGGTTGAACCAAAACAACTTTACAAAATTACCTTTTTGTCCAAATCTTATTCCACATCTCATAATAAAGGTAAGGGCTAAATTATAATAAAGTAGTTTCTTACTTTGAATTCAATTTTTAAAATAGAGGGTTCAAGGAAGCTTAAAACTGTGGACAGTGACGTATTCCCTCCACATAAAGGTTTAATTGTGAAGGGTGTTATTTCGTAATTATTACCAGTGTGCCCTGGGGAGGCCAGGGAGCAGGAGATACATTACTAGCCAACTTCTGGGTTCTTGTGACTGTTGTGTAAGATAAGCACGCAGGCTACCAAATGTTCTTGGTGTTACAGCTCATTTTTTCAACTAAAGCAATTGCACATCTGCGGTAGTTATAGGAATAGTAAGTTTTGCAATCAAGATCGTCACTTTTGCTGGCTGCTTCTTGCCACTCAGCTGCTTTTCTTGCCATCCTGGTATTAGCTACATTTAGGTCCTCGTCATCCAGGTCCTTGCAGTCTCACCATCTTTGTTGTCTGCACTGAGTTCTTAACGCATCATCTAGTTACACCATCTTATCTGAGGTCCACTGCTTGATGGCTGGTGTTTCTCTGCTTGTATCTTGCTGTGCAGGGCTTGGTGCCCTGCTGCCATTTCTTCTAGCTGTCTCTTTCTCGGTGTGTGTGTGTGTGTGTGTGTGTGTGTGTGTGTGTGTGTAGCGGAGGGGGAGGGGAGGGGGTGAGGGAGGGGAGAGAGGAAAAAAAGTTTTATTCAGTATTTTGCATTATATCTTTCTTGTAGCTGCCTTTAGCTATTTCTTTTCTTTTCTTTTCTTTTCTTTTCTTTTCTTTTCTTTTCTTTTCTTTTAACTCTTTGAGTTACACACTCCTGGCGATGCTCAGGGTTACTCCTTGCTCTGCACTCAGGAATTATTCCTGGCGGTGCTCAGGGACCATATGGGATGCCGGGAATCAAACTCAGGTCAGCCTTGTGTAGACAAACATCTTATCCGCTGTACTATAGTTCTGACCCCAGCCCTTAGCTATTCCTGTTATCTGACTAGCTATTTAAGTGACGTTTATCGTGGCCAATCATTTCATCTAGATTATCTCCCCTGCCAAATGTGACAATTGCTCCCTTAACAATAGGGAACAAATATCTACCAAAAAAGTGCACCAGGCAAGCATAGAATAAAACTGTTTAGAGTGTTTTAGATCTAGGGACTGCATGGGCAAACTAGAATAGGACGCAGACAAGACTTTTCTATTTGAAGGGTGCCTTCTGATAGCTATGTAAACAGTCCAGTCTCTGCTCTTAAACATTGATGTGCGTACCGACTGTCCTTAATGTCTGTCAGCAGGGACTCGCCTGTTGGGACCTCACAAGGAACAAGAATATTGTATGGAATGAATATCCTGCCTGTGAGATCACAGATGGCTGCCCAGGAGACCAAAAGTTTGGACAGTCCATATGTATTTGTCTTCTCATGTGTTTGTCTCATTATCTGCGACCAAACCTCAAAGGTGCTGTTCCTATTTGTTTTAGACAACCTTTCTTCACTCCTCATAACAATAGCAGCCAGAGTGGGGAGAGAGAATACTCTTGTTCCCACATTTGGTCCTGGGCCCTCACTGGTGGAGTGCTCTTGATACCCACAAGAGCTCTACACATATAGACATTGAAGTCCTGAGCCTCACCTTGGTTTTCTGATGTGTTGCCTATTCTTGCTGAAACAAATTCCAGGACAATTCAAATAGTGAAGCAAATTATTTTTATTTAGGAAAGACAAGGAGAGAAAGAGAAGAGGGAGCTCCATAAAATTCCATAAAATTCCACAGAAGAAAGGAACAGCACATCCCAACTAGGAATAAGGAAATGGAATGCATGCTTCTTGCTTTTTCAAAGTTATTTTTATAGGCTCCTTTCTAAGTTGTCCGTGCTGAGGAGCTTTCTATGTAGATACGGATCTCTCTCTCTAGGGAACACTAGCCAGGAAAAAGGATTTGGAAGATTTGGTGGTCATTTTTCCATCTAATCAGGGCCTTTAATTTTGCTGAAATTTCTCTTCCCCTTAGAGGATTCATCCAGGCTTCTCTTGGGGTAGGTGTCGTTCGGCATCCCATCAGGGCTGTTTCTATGGAATCATGCCCAAGAGGGTCCAGTCTTTATCCTTTAGAACTGTCAGAATGGCTGACAACTGAGCAATTTCTTTACCATTTATAACTTAGGTTAAGTCACAGAGAAAAGGAGGGAAGGACCCGGATCGCCTAGACCTCCTGTTAGCCCCTCATGCTATCCAGTTAGTTGTCTCTCATACAATTTCTTTTAATATAAATTTATTTATTGGATCATCGCGAGAACAGTTACAAAGCTTTTGGGTTTAAGTCTTGGTCATACAATGATGAAATAACCGGCCTTCACCAGTGCACATTTCCCACCACCAAAAAACGCTGTACACCCCCCATCCCACTCCCTTCCCTACCTGTGTGGTAGATGGTTTCCATATTACTCTCTCTCTACTTTGATTACATTCAATATTTAGACACCAGATCCACCATTATTATTTGGGATTTTCCCCCAACACTCACATCTGCTGAAAAGGCAACATTAGACAATTTGTTTTCTGTTCTGATAAAGAATAGTATACAATTTTGGAGTTCTGAAATCTTAATAATTAAATCTGGAGGGATTTCTGCCAAAAGCCCCTGGGTTCCGAGATTTGTTTCTCAATCTCTGGGATCATGGTTTAAGCCGCCTGTGAAGTAGCCAGAGGGCTCGTTCATGGGCAGCGACTCAGGGTCGACTTGGGGTCTCGTTGAGGAAGGGTGGAAAGGGCCTGCCCCACCCCCATCCTATGAGATCCTGCATGTCTCCTCACTTTGGGCTCCTACTCAGTGGTCCATTGGCCTCTGGACGATGGCGGACCCCGAGCTGCCAGGGGGAACAGGCCAAGACATGAAACCCATTCCCATCTGGGGTGGCCGGGGGCTGGTCACCTAATGCGGAGTCTGGACACAGTTCTTCCAGAAGCTGCTGGGTTCCGACATTTGTTTCTGAGTCTCTGGGATCATGGTTTAAGCCACTTGTTACAGCTTCAGTTGTTTCTGCCACAACAGCTGCTTTGAGCTGTTTTAGGGGCTTCTGCCACCTCCATAGCTGAAGGGTGAGAGAGAGAGCCATCTGTTCTGGCATGATATGGAATGGACTGAGCTCGCTGACTTGGATGCAGGCGTTGCTACTGGTGCAGCTAGCTGAGCTAGGAAATGAAGGGCTATGACTCTGTGGATAGACTCTGGTGCTCTGAGGCACCGATCTTATACATGAACTGTGAAAATAGACAGCAGCTGCCTTAATGGTAGTTTTACTTCCCAATTTTCATTGGCAAGCTGGTCTCCAGCCCCACTTCCTACCCTACTGACCTTCATGGAGAGATCACTATCACAAGTTCAGTTCTACACCACTGTCATGCTTCACGGGTGTATTGGTGTCCGCATGTTACTAAACCTTTAGATTTGCATTGAGATTCACCCAGAATGACCAGAGCACAAGAGATTTCGACAGAGGAAACTAATGTTCTCATCTCAGTGGAAGGAAAGACCTGAGTCCACTGGGAAAGAATACACTCTATACACAAGGAGAAAGATGACTTTGCATGTGTCAGGGCCAGGTATATGTGT